CCAGCATTCTGACTTCAGCTGTGCTCAGAACAGAAAACCAGCTTAGAAGGTAGAAACACGCACTCTGAAGCCTTATTCAGAAAAAGAATTACTGCTGATGATTTTTTTCTATAGTTTTGAAAGGTACTTTTAAGAGAGAAATCAAGTAGGATTTCTCACTCAGCTGGGATGTTCAAGACAGGTTATAAGAAGAATTAGTCCACTATTTACTAAAATATGAGAGCCAAAGATTTGTGACTGAAACAGTAGTTGTCATTAAAATACACTGCCCAGCTGTGTGGCCATGCGTTTGGACATGGTAAAATTTAAGGCGGTGATGAGAGGCAGCCAATGACGACCAGCCAGGTGAAAATTCTACCAGCTCCTTAGCAGACCCTGGAAAGTTTCTCCTCCCACACATGTGTGAGTCAAGCTTTGCTCCAAGTCAAGGAGAAAGCAAACATCTGTGGCCCTAGCAGCCTCTCTTATCGTCAACTCCAGACACTAAAAAGAAAAACCCTAACGTTCAACAAATATATTCTTTGCTTTTAGCTTAATAAGGCATGCTATCACTACCAATTTCAGAAACAACTTACTTCTACTAGGTAAAAGACAATTGATAACTAAGTCTTTTACTTAAACATATTATAAAAACACATAGAGAGTTATATTGAGGAAATCGCTTAGGAATGACTTTAGTTTGTGGAATAAGTTTTCAAAACTGCAAAGTTGCGTTTGAGGAACTGTTCAGCAAAGACAGACTGGACTCCCTCTGATTGCAAAGGAACAACCAACTGAAAGAATAACACAGTATAAATTCTCTCTTCTAGAAATGATATTGTGTCATTAATACTGAAATCCTATTTGACTTAGGATTTTCAAGTTATACTAAGTTAGCATACCTTACATTTTTTAAAGCCCCAGATTTCGGGCAGTGTTTCATTCAAACTCATATTTTAGTGATATAATTACTAGAATTTTGGTAGGAAAAAACAGTCAGGTGGTAAATGAGATGAAAAGGGGAATTGAGGGGCCTTAGCTTTTATGGACTAGAGTCAGAATTCACATAGAGAAGGAAAAATAACCACTTCAGAGCTATGTCCAAGTTTTTAAATGCCTTCAAAGCAAAAGTGGCTTATTATTAATACTTCCTGATTCCTACGCTGTCCCGAAACCGGGAGGCCGAACCCAGTGAACCATGAAGTTCCTTTGTGGTGCCAAGGGGAGATCAGAACATAGGTTTACTTTAGAAATCTAAAACCAAAACCACACAGATCCAGTTCTAAATTCAATTTCTTAAACTCTTGTGACTAGATGGCCAGGAGGAAAAAAGAAAAGAAATGTAAAATTTGAGGACTTCTGAACAGAGGCAAACCTCCAGGCAGGCTACTGACTGCAGACTGATAGAGTCATCCCATTATGAGAATCAGAGAGTTCCCGGCTACTCCTTCCCCCACCTGTCAAGAGCCTGAAATAACACAAGCATGACGAAGAGAATGTTATTCTTTCCAGGCCTCTCGATTTATCCTACAAATACCACAGCGCCAAGTGGCTGGAAGTCAGGAACTGCACCTTAAATTCATGAACTCTGAATCATCCACCACGGGACTGCCATACACTCGCCACTTTCACGCACAGTCGCTCAACAAACGCTTATTGAACAGAAACTGAATTTATTCCACGCGTACGTGTTTCTACTGCTTTCTTACATCAACGTCTGGGTAAGATGGAATTAGAAAAAAACCGAGAAAAATAATCTCAATTACATATCCACTCACTCACAAACAAGCCAACGGCAAACCCGAGAAACATATCAGATCTACTTACTTGTATCTGAGAAATAGCCACTGGGTGATCCATAAGCCAAATAATATGATCCCGTTTATTTCTGATACAGAAAACGCCCACTTCACCCGATCGATGTAATCAAAAAACTTGTCGGGGAGCGGAGGGCTGAGCTCCTTGGGAGGGACCCTCTCATGCACAACCGTGATCATGACGGTCGTCAGGATGAGGTTGAAGAGCGCGTACACCAGGGCGATGCCCGTTTTCCACCACTCCAGGGGGAATTTGTTCCTCGATTCGGTGGGCATAGCGATTTGGATATAGTCCGGGTACTTCTTGGCGCCCTTTCGCAGCCCGGCGGGTAGGCTCTTAGGTTTGCCGTTGCCATTTTTGTTTTCTTCCCCGACAGGCTCTGCAGGTCCCGTGTACGTGGTGGTAGGGTCATTGGTTTGATTTTCCATATTTTCTTCCAGTTTTGCTGTCTCTATGACGATATCCATTGTCCCCCAGCCTTCAGAGCAAAAAGGAGATAGTGAAGTTCTTGTTCTTTGTGGAAGTGTCACTGTCTTAAACCCTTCTGTTTCCAAGATCCATGTGGACTCCTACGACGAACTCTGCCTCCTGCCACATGGCACAGCAGGCAGCCGCCCAGTGCCGTCCGTCCCCGCGGCTGCCCGCCGCACGCTCGCCGCTTTCAGCGGAGGAAGCCAATTCTTTCCCCCAAAAGATGTTACTATCTCACCTAAAAGCAAATAAAACTGCGTTCAGAAACTATGCTCATCCAAAACAAAACACTCTCAAACCCCTGCTGCTTATTATGAAGTCATAATAAGCTAGAAACTGCTCAGAGACCACATCACTCCTCCCCAAGACTATCTTTTAAAACTCTGGTGAGTTGCTTATGTGCATTTAATAATTCTGCCTTTGTCAAAATAGTCAGTTTTCTATCTTCTTATTAAAAACCTAAAGTCTTTTTAAAGTGATTACTTTCAAGAACAGATTTAAGAGTATCCCATTCCAGATATTTAAAACGGCCCTGCCTCAGTTTATCCTTTTATATTCAGAGATGCACAGCAGACACAAGGAAACCTGGCAGCCTTCAAAATAACAGTGACGAGATACACACAGCCTTAGCTAGGTCTCCCTTAGGTAACAAGCAGAATTTGTTATTTGAAGGATAAAATGATGTCCCATAATTGGCACGGCAGATCGGTAACTATAGATGATAGCATCTTGCTGCAGCCACCACGATTTCTAACAAACAAGAGAAAGCGACGTCCAGAGGACCAGCTCCGAGCACTCACCCGCCACGACCCCGCGGAGGAAAGGGTGCTGTGGCTGAAGCTCCACGGGCCCCAGGCGCAGACTTCTGTCCGACACAGAGCGCCCTGCTGCCGACCCTTTTATACTTGCCAGCCACACAGCCCCAGCTGTTCCCGATTTAGGAAAGCGGTATTTTAGTCCTGCTACGGAGCCTGAGGAGGTTTCCAGACCTCATAATTAGTCCCCACCCTGCGTACACGGCACAACGCGAGCATAAAGCTTCACATTTTCAAGGCTTCTCTTTCCAGGGCAACTTCAGGAAAAGAGGAGGAGGAGGGAAAACTCAAAGTGGTGACAGTTAAGCCTTTCTTTAATGAAATAAAAAGGGAAAAAAGTTAAAATGGCACAGTCAATATGTACAGGCAATTTGTTCACAATTATGGGTGGCAAACAGATCAACTACAAGTGTTTCTTGTGCCCCTGAAAGTCCCCGCGTGGAGGGACGTGTGGGGGGAATTAAAAGGCGTCAGAAACACCCAGCCTGAGCATTCAGCCAAAGAGCCTGCGGTCCAGCCAGAGACAGAACAAAAACGACAAAAGATTACTGGGGAAGACCGAAGGCATGGTGTGACAGGAAGGAGGGGACGAGTTGGTCACCAGGTAAGTGTGAGGTTTAGCTGTGAGGTGTCCCTGCTGCCGGGACAAGGCGTGTCCGCACACAGGCACTGGGGTTTCTGAGAAAGCAGAACCACGGGGGAAGGTGGCCTGGGAGACACAGGGAGGACCAGGGGACCGGCCGAGAGGTGTCACTGAGAACCGAGTGTGAACATCCCACCTGTCTCTTGTACCTTTGCAAAGCCGCCAGCGAGCACCGCACTGGAGCAGGCTGAGAGGCCGGTCCCCTCTGCGGCGGCAGGTGCTCGCGGCGCCCTGGCGCAAGGCTGTGGGAGGAACTAGTGCGATGGAGAAGTGTCTCGGGTAAGCCCTTTTCTTTTTTTTTTTGAGACAGAGTCTCACTCTTTTCCCCGGGCTAGACTGAGTGCCGTGGCGTCAGCCTAGCTCACAGCAACCTCAAACTCCTGGGCTCAAGCGATCCTCCTGCCTCAGCCTCCCGAGTAGCTGGGACTACAGGCATGCGCCACCATGCCCGGCTAATTTTTTTCTATATATTTTTAGTTGTCCAGCTAATTTCTTTCTATTTTTAGTAGAGACGGGGTCTCGCTCTTGCTCAGGCTGGTTTCGAACTCCTGAGCTCAAACAATCTGCCCGCCTCGGCCTCCCAGAGAGCTAGGATTACAGGCGTGAGCCACCGCGCCCGGCCGGGTAAGACCTTTTCGACCACAGACTTTCAACACCGTGGACAGCTACTTCCAACGGAGATCCACGGCGCAACTGGACCATCTCCTGTGTGTTTCCTAACCTAGCCTAATCCACTCGCAGTGTCTCGCCAAACCTTATCCGAACGCCCTTCAACTTTACTGCTCCGCATGGGCTCCCGCCCGGAGTTCAGATGTGCAAGACGCTTGTGATTTGGAAACCCCATTTCACCGGTGGACCTATGGGTGGTCTTTCTACGGTAGCGACCCAGTTCTAGAATACAGAATGTAGAACGGAACAAAATCCAATTAGTTACTTTGTTTTTTTTTAAGAGGAACCAACCACTCCGCCACCTACCCCTGGGACTACGGTGAGAGTGACTGAAATAATTAATCGTGAAGAGCTCTGTGCCCCGGGAGTAAGAGCACTGCGTGAGAACAATGCCCATTTATCGTCATTAGCGTTGGGACTGATATTTTCCTTGGGACTTCATTAACAAGATTAAACATACACAGCGCGTTCATCAGGGGTCACCCAATCTTGGGACGCAACGTTTGGCCTCAAGATGACGATTACGACATACTCGTTCCCGTAGTCTTCCTTTCTCAACACTGTCTGCGAAAGTGACAAAAGCCACAACAGCTCCTCTCGATGGACGGCAATTCTATTAGTCCCTTTGTTTAGGGTGCAAGCGGAAGCCGAGCTTTCCAAATCCTCTTACATTGCAAAATACTAGAAGTTAACCTAGACAATACTGAAAAAGTTTAAGATCTCTATAGACACATCTCCCTTTTGAAGAAAAATACAAATGTCTGAAACTTTCAGTACACCGATATTGCTTTGTTAATACTTTTTTAGAACTAGGTATGACTTATTCCATACACGTAAGGAAGGTTTAAAATTAGAAAATGATTGTAATAAAATACATCACAAACATATGTAAAAAGAAATGATTATCTTGAGAGAAGCCAAAAGGCATCTGATCAAATTCAACATCCACTTGATTCTGCAGGGAAAAAGCATCCAATAATAGAAGTATGCACAGCTAGCCTCTTTCAATACCAACATCACAATTGTAGCTGTGTAATATAAGCTCTCATATCTGGAGGGGAACCTGCCTCTACCCTCTACCTTCCTTTTAACCCCTAACTGAACCTTGGAATCTTTTTGACAAATGACAAGAAAACACATACTTATCCATCATTGGGCTTCTATATTTTACATATAGACTTCTCCCACTGCATATCGTTCTAGCGAATTAAGCCAAGACAAGAACAAGAAAATAGGCAAGTAACGATTGCAAAGCAGGTAAGAAATGTATATGTGAAAACCATCTATCTCAAACATATAACATTCAACGGGAAGGTTAGGTTCTGTTTATAAATTAAACACTCACACAGCTTCCTTAGAGAATCAGTAATATAACCAGTTCAAAAGCTTAATAAAAATAGGGTCACATACCAGACCATACTGAAGTAGCCATTACACCAATGACAAAAATACCCTTAAACCCTAATGACTGAAAGGAAACATTCAGCACATATATGAAGAACGCTACACAAATTAATAATACTGATGGGGATAAAAGAAAGCACAAAGCTATCCCATGTACATAGGTGGAAGCTGAGATATTACACCAATGAGGGTTTGACGTTAACACAGTAATACATAACGCTGGTCGTTTTCTTTTAATAACAATAGGACTTTTCCTGTAATTTGACAAAATGACTCTCAAGTTCATCAGGAGTACAAACGTTAGCAGCAGCAGTTTTGCGCCACTAGACACATGACATACCTAAGACTGAGGTTAAAGCACTTTTACCCAGTTGTCCCATTTCATAACTTAATCCTAAAGAAAATAAGATGTACGCAAAATATGTTCACAAGTATGTTTTCAACAGGTACTTACAAAACCGAAACTGAGCTGATATCCAAGAACAGGGGCTTAGCTTCATAAATTATGGTTACCTTAATATTATGAAATGCTGCATAGTGACACAGTAACTATAATACTGCAAAACAGATAAATATTATATAAGAAGAATGCAATATCCAATCATGTAGAAATTTCAATATGAATAGGAAATGTGGAATCTCAATAATTCATATCAGAGGTTGTAGTTTTTAAAAAGATGGGCGCAGAGTCACGTGACAGATGCTCTAGACCGTAAGAAAAGGCTACAGCGTGGGAGGCCGGCTCCAGGAGTCTCCACGGCAGCCGGATCTGAAGCTCAGTGAACACACCTACAGAGGTGACTGGGCCCAGACGTTTGCCCCAGTAGAAGGGCTTAGAAATGCCTTGCTTGCTAGATTTCTATCATATGTCTTCCCAGCTGTACGTTTGAAGCGTTTAAGATAAGATCTATTAAATGCGTAAACATTATTTAAAAATTAAGAGAACTTATCTAAGTTTACATATGGGTTTTCATGTTTAAAAGAATTTAATCTGTAAGAGGAAGAAGCCAAACACTGATCAAAGAAAATGTGTCCCTACGTTTACAAATTGGAATTACGAATAAAAGATCTATACATAGAACTTAAAGGCTTAAGAAAAACGAAGTCTTAAAACGAGGTCTTGAAACAGGATTTTAGTGAACTGCACGTCAGTTGAAACAAACAGCTTATGAGTTTCCTAACAGACAAGAGAGCTTCTTCAGGCCTTAAAAAAGAAAACTGAGTTGTCACCATAAAGCCATTAAAAAATTGAGCTGTAGAATCAAATAGGCATAAAATAATAGATCTCAGCAAATGTTACTTACATGTCAGGTACTGTATCTGTGCATTATCTAACTAATCCTCAGAACAATCCTAGGAAATGCTGTTCACCTAATTCTAAAGAAAAGAAGTTGAGGCCCAGGGAGGTGGCTCACGCCTGTAATCCTAGCACTCTGGGAGGCCGAGGCGAGTGGATCGTTTGAGCTCAGGAGTTCGAGACCAGCCTGAGCAAGAGCAAGACCCCGTCTCTACTAAAAAAATAGAAAGAAATTATCTGGACAGCTAAAAGTATATAGAAAAAATTAGCCGGGCATGGTGGTGCATCCCTGTAGTCCCAGCCACTCGGGAGGCTGAGGCAGGAGGATCGCTTGAGCCCAGGAGTCTGAGGTTGCTGTGAGCTGATGCCACGGCATCTAGCCCGGGCAATAGAGTGAGACTCTGTCCCAAAAAAAAAAAAAAAAAAAGTTACCCTGTATTTGTGAAATAGTAATACTTTC